TGAAGGGTTAACAATTCAATCATAGCATTTGTTCCTACACTTTTTGTCCTATTTGAAAATCACCAGCTGCAAACACTGTGTGCAATACTTTTGTTTTAACTCTTTAATGGATTCCTCAACCAAGTGGATCCCTTTTTGAGTCACTATACCTGAAAATTGGAACCGAAATCGACCTCATTGGAGCGTCTCTAGCACTTGATTTTAGGAACCTTTTAAATTTATCAAACTGCAGGTCAACCATTCGGCAAAAGCCTGTAATGAATAAACTAGGGGTTAAAAAATACACAATTTCCTAGAAAAGAAAAAAAAGGGACAAATGTACATTGCTTTCTTCAAGAAGTGAACGTTAAACGGTTAAAAGGCAGAAAACGGCGCTTTTGACAGAAGGACCAGGAACGTAGCGTGGTTGGGTCTAAAAACAACACCAGGTCTGTAACATGACTAAAAGCTAAAAAAAACAGTTTTTTTGCAGACATTTGTCCGGGACTCCCTTGAAAAAGAGGTTCTTAATCTTAATGGGACTTTCCTAATTAAATAAAAACAAAAATATTTCTATTGCTGTCTCCTTTAATATTAAACTGCGAGATAAATACAAGCAATAACAAGCCGGGGGCAGGGCTCTTCAGCAGAAATGGTACATAGAGAAAGTGTCTTTGAGGTAAATTGGAGTTTCTGTAACAGGCCGTTGCGTCTCTGGCCAGCTCGCCGTCCGTGGCACATCCAATCATGTGCGAACAATGGAGCTCTTCCACGCTCGCCATTGTGCGCTCCAAATACGACAACTCACAATTTGACATTCCAAGCGATTACCCAGAAGCCTTTGCAGCAGTCCAAATTCAAAGTTTGCAAGACGTGCCTTGGAGTTTTTCCCACTACTGATGCGTGTTTTTGTGCGTGTGGTTGATTTATAACACGCTGTATGCACTGACATTTTCTGAATGAAGAATCTCTTAATCTCAATATTAATCCTAATCTTAAAACAAAGGGGGCTGATTTCCAGAAAGCTGTTGGTTAAAAATGCAAAATGACTTTACACTGCTCTTGGTTTCTTGTTTTCTCTCTGACCACTGCCACCACAACACACAAGGAGGCTATGTTATCACCAGGGTTTGTTTGAGTGATAATCAGGATTTGAAGATAATCTCAGGATACCTCAGCACTGGGGTAAGGATCACTGTCTGGATCCGTGGGTTTCTCTTGGCATAGGTCTGCGCTCTACGAGTACTTTTCTAGGTTATTACTGTACTTTGTTGAACCGTGGGTTTTCATTTCTGAACCTGTGATCTCTGATGATTCTGCCATGAGGAGGAGGGGGGAAATCCACTGATCGCTAACTTGATGTGGTCTGAAAGGAGCCTGCAGGGCTTTTTTGTGACCATGTCTATGCTCAAAATGTATTCATAATTTTGAGTTATGTTGGAAAAAATATATATTATATATAATTGTACATTTGAACAAAGCCCCTGAGCATTTTACCCAATTAGTAGAAAGTAGAAAAGATATGAACAAACATGACATTCTTATCTCCTATTCCACTTTTTCCCATGTTTATTCGCAAAATGACTCCTTTTTTATTCCATATTGACATCTCTATTTTAAATTTAAATGTATTCTCTAGAAGTGTTTTTTATTCTTATTTTTATTATCTCTTTCTGACTGTTGCACTGAGCCAAAGCAATTTCCAAGTCTGTGACCTCCTGTTACTTCCGTGGCAATAAAAATGATTCTGATTCTGAATCTGTATATTTTTGGTCGCTGTGAAAAAGCGGTTACTCACTCTGTCTTTATCTCATTTGCAAACACTCTCTTTTAAATTCTTGTGCCCTGTGTGACTCACTCTTTGACCCTTTGTGGCTGACATCTGATTGGCTGAATGGGTGGTCCACTCTTTTTAACTTTTTCCGAATGAAAACGATGATCCGAAAATGAGATGGAGGCCTTGAATCAAAGCGAAGATAAAAAGACTTTTGAATGCACTGGAAACGGCTGCAGGTAGCTATGAAACAGTTGTTTTGTGCTTTACAATTGTTATTTTACTTGATTTTTTCTACCTGGGATGTTAATGCGGTACAGTGTTCATGGTTTTACACTGGTCCAGACCAGAGCGGAGAGGATTCATGGTCCAAACCAAACAGATCAAATAAAATTCCACTGGAGGAATGCTAACTTTTTGAAAAATGCTAATGAAACATCTAGCTTTTTACTGTGTACTAGAGCAGAGAAAATGGTCCGTACCAAGCGGGTACTCCACCTTGTGACCCGTCCTGCTCCACCCAGAGGCTACTCCACCTCTGCTGCTGTGACCAGTCCTGCTCCACCCATGAGCTACTCAATCTCTGCTGCTGTGACCTGAAGGGCTGTTGCTGATTATCATTATTGTTAGCTTATTAGAATGATCAATTTTATTTTTTATTTTTGCTGCTACTGGACACCTGAATTTCTCCTACGGGGATCAATAAAGTATCTATCTATCTAAACAAATAGGAGCTATTGGTCCATAAATGTCTGTAAATGTTAATTTTCTGGTTTGTGTGAAATCCAAAGGTGCCTGTAGGATCACGTGGTCGGACACTGTGTGTGATTGGCAGTCTCTCCCGGACGTTGGGGGACAGAGGGGGGGGGGACTAGGGGGGTATGGGAGTATGGCCTCTGCGGTCTGCCATGTGGTCCGCGCGCCCTGCCAGCCAACTGTGTCAGCGCTCATCACAGTTGCAAATGCATATTCATGAGGCGCGAGAGCCGAGACTTGGAGGATCTCTCTCTGTTCACAGTATTTCGATCAAAAAGATTCAAACTCAGGATTATCGTCGTATTATTGTTCAAAAATAAGAATAATAATCAATGCGTTCATTTGTATCAGTCCTGTCTCTTCAATTTGATATTGAGGATTCTACTTTAGGTGTGGAACGATAAAGCAGACAAGTCAAACTCAGGCCTGTGGGCCAAATCTGGCCTGCAAGACCATAATTAGTGGCCCCTGAAATGACTTTCCACTATCGTTATCACAGTAACTTGCAGGGTTGATGGCAATGGGCTACTACGACATTATACTTAAATTTAAATCTAAAAAGAAATTAGAAGTTACAGTTATTTATTTTTAATATTTGTGCAGTATTAATACTGTTCAAATAAATAAATAAATAAATAAATAAATATATCAGTCTTCAAATACATATATTCCTGATATTTGGCACCATTTTTGCTTGAATCCAGAACTCGAGAAAATAATATACTAAGTCATGTAAAATATAGTTAATTTGTCAAGGCAAAAATATGTAAAAAAACACTTTTATACATATGGCCCCAAGCAGCTGTTATGTTATTTTTGGGCCCCGACCAGCAGGATTCTGTGGAAGTAAAAAGTTATGTATCATGTGACATTCTTGCTCAATGAGACAACCAGACTCTTTTGTAGTTAAACACACACACACACACACACACACACACACACACACACATACATACACGCACACACATATAGCACAATAACAAACAACAGTTCAATACATATGCAGTTATGCTAGTACAATTCCAAACTATCCATGGTCTTCTGCTTTATCCATTGCCGGGTTGTGGAGGCAGCAGTCTGAGCAGAGACAACCAGACTTCTCCACACACACTTTCTCCAGCTCATCTGAGGGAGTCCCGAGGCGTTCGTAGCCCAGCTGAGACAGACAGTCCCTCTAACATGTCCTGGGCCTTTTCCTGGTCTCCTGGTGGGACATGCCTGGAGCACCTTCTCAGAGATGCGTCCAGGAGACATCTGAAACAGACACCAAAGCCACCTCAACTGGCTCCTCTTGGCCTGGAGAAGCAGAGGCTCTATTTTGAGCTACCAACTATCTAATAAAATCCATGTCACTTGTCTTTCGCTCTCAAAACAGTCTTGGTTCTATCTCTAGTTTCCATGTGCATGTAGTCTCGGCCTCTGTCACATCTTTTCCTACAGAAAAGTGAAAAAGAGAGGACCACCCTTGTCAAATAGTGACTCACAGAGCTCTTTCCAGCAAAATATTATGGGTTTTCTAATCAGACAACATTATACATCTAAAGACTCATTATACATCTAAAGACTCAAGCTTTTTAATAAGTCAATTTTGTATTTTGTCTCCTCAGAAGCAGCTGAACTAAAGCTCACCTCACTTTAGATTTTTTCCTTGCTGTTGCAGGAGGCTCTATATTACGGACATAAGTCCTTTGGTTTTGGTATTTGTGTTTCTCCTTGCCTCCACCTGTCAGATCAGCCAACCTCCAGCTGAGTGAGGTATAAAGGGCCTGGATCCAGACCATGCTCTTGCTCTCGCTTCCATTTGGACCGTCCATTGGACCAGTCGGTCCCGCCGTTGCACCTCACCTTTTCTGAGCATTTTTGTTATTATGTTCCGAACATTGCTTCTTTTGCACATTTACACATCTGGTTTTATTTTTGCAATCGAGCCACACTCCTAGACACCACCACCTTATGGCTCATAGTAGTCTAAGAACAGTGGTGATGATCCAGGACACATGACATTCAACAACAATTACAGACATTTATCAACATTCACAGACATTGGTCATCCGCCGATAGACTAAAGGCTCTGTGTTTTTGTTATCATTGCATTTCTTGTGTTTGAACTATTTAATTCTCTATTTTGTTTTTTTGCAAATTTAACGGTTTTGTAAGGTCCTACGAGATAACTGGTGTTTTGATTTAGGATTACACAAGAATACATGGAATTTAATTGAACTAAGTGTCTTTCAGTCCACCTAACATAATTGAGAACATTAACATCTAGAATGTTTAAAGTAACAACCGGATTTTCACATGATTAAACAACACAGTTTGTGGGGCATCCTGTAACCCCCACGTGCTCTTGTTGACTGCATTAGGCGCATGCTAATCACGCAACTCACGCGGCTCCCGACACCCGGCCTACGCAACCCCTCGGCCCACGCCAGCCGTTATTAGCTTCGCGCCGCTGTCGAAACTTGGCGTGCTCCCGGTGCGTCAAAGTCAGTCACCATGGCGAACAACACGGGCCCCTCTCCTTCCTCCTGACATGGTCGCCGCTTGTAACACACAGCATGCCTTTCGCAGCTCCGAAAGCCAAACGCGCTCGAGATTTGGACGCACGCAAGCACACACACACACACAGAGAAGCTGATGCACGCCAAGACTCCGCAGATGTCCTGGCTTCTATGGCTTGTGTGGCAAAGCAGGGCAGGCTCTTTGACGCCGAAATCTGCCCGACAAGAGTGGGGTTGGTGTTGCGGATTTTCAACCACAATCCGATGCGCAGAGCTTCCATAAGACAGCAGGTGCGGCCTTTACGACACGCTTTCTCGCCAAAACACAGACACAAACTTTTTCTCACCATAGCCGCGCGCAGGGATAGCAGTCAGGCTTGTTGTTCTCGGAGAGAGTGGCCGGCTCAGCGCGATGACACGTTTGCCGATGACGGTGATGGCGGAACGGAAAGTGGTCAACTGTGGTCACACTCTGAACTCGACCATAGTTGCTCAAATAGTTGCTCAAACTTTGGGATGATGAGTGGGACTCAATTTAATTCAATTATAATGCAATGTATTTGTGTATAGATCTAAATCACACCAGCAGTCGTCGTGCAGGACCTTACAAAGTTGTTGATTCACAACAACAGATCTGTGAATCAATCAATTCAAACACAGAAAATACAATAATAAGCCTCGGTGTCCATGTCCACAAATGTTAATCATTTCCTTAAAGCCACCCTGTGTAATTTTTACAGTTGCTCCATATGAAAAAAACATGTTAATAACAAATGTGACCTTTTTTGTAACTGTTTTTATAGACTTAGAATTCAACTCATAAATGTCCATGAGAGCAGAGTGCTCTCCGTGTCAATACTCCATCTTAAATACAGCGGTGGATCAGGGACAAACAGGGTGTGAGAATCACGTTCTTGTATCCCAAGTTCTACTGATATTGTTGCTTTCACCGTGTCCTCACAAGTTTGAGGACGGAATCATGAAAGACCACAGTTACTGTATATAAAAGAACGAGCCGAACAACAATCTTAAAAAATAATTATGCAAAAGTCCAACGTCATCCAGCAAACTGTCAACGACGCAAACCACACACACCAAAAGGCAGAGTTAAAACAACAGGAGGCACATTGTGTAGTTTGTACACAACAGACTCACACGAAAAACAATAAAGAGAACAAGGCCAACTCTACGACACAGGTCTCAGGATGCTCTGCTCCGAGTCCAACTACTCTGTCACAAGTTTCAACAAAACTTATTCAGGGACAAGCCTCAAATTGAAAAACACTCAGAATCCCCGTTTAACAATCGCCAGAATACTTTTTCAGTACGGTGAGTGATTGTTCTTTTTTCTAATCGTGATGCGGGTGAAAGCTAATAATCCAAGCTTTTAGCCGCAGTTCTGCTGCGGCTGTGTCCAAGGCACTGTCCTCCTGGTTCTCTGATCATTGTGGTTTTAAGCTCCACAGATTTCCCATTCCTCCAGGCGTCTCTTCTCTTCTCACAGTGTTCGTAAAACTATATATTATAATCCATGGTAAAATACTATTAGAGCCTCTGTTTACGTGCGACAAGGCACATTTGTGTTGCAGTAGTGTTTGGAGAGAGGACACAACATATGTTCCTCGTAGGCTTCCGTAATGTTGGTGGTAGTATTTGCATACAGCTTTCTATTACAATGTATTGCATGGTTGTATAAGTCAGTGTTTTTCAACCACTGTGCCGCGGCACACTAGTGTGCCGTATGATATTGTCTGGTGTGCCGTGAGAAATTCGTCTACTTTGTCTAAAAATAGCTGCATTCGCTGTTGACGAGCGGTGACTTATTTTGAACTGTGAGTAACCATGTAATACTTTTTCAAATCAGTAGATGGCAGCAGATAGCTAAGTACTTTGAAACTGAAAAATTGGATGCGACCACTGGCTGTAACAGGTCAGCATTGTGGCGAGAAAGGTAAAATTGGATGCGACCAACAAATGTGGGAGGGAGCGAGACAAGAGCTTTGTGGCGAGTGAGAAGTGAAAGTGATAGAGACGTTTTTGAAAATGAATTATGCCGTTTCTGAACAGGATTAACATCCTCCGCTCTGCCCCGGGGTAGCTGTGGCCGCGTTGTAGTGGTTTAACTATGAAATGTACCATTTTTGTACAACACAGCTCTCGCGAACGCACTTCTGAACTGGGTACCGAGCGCAGACCATAGTCGAGTGGACAGAACCACAGACATGCGGACCGGACAGAACCATGGACTCGCGTTCAGGACCTCCCGTGTCCCTCATCCAAAACTCCTGAATTTAAAGCTCGGATACCAAAATGTTTCCCATGCACTAACAATGCATGTTCTTTGTGTGAGTTATTATTTGACTATTTGGGCAGAGAGTGGATTTTCTTAGTTTTTTTCCACACAGTTAGTGCCACTTTATTCCCAAACTCTTGTTAATTGTATCGAGAAATATTAAATAAAGCTTAATGTCAAGGCCTGGACTTAAGCATTTTGATGAGAATAACTGTATATTGTGAATATAGGCTACAGAGTATACTGTATACATTATAAGATAAGATATACTTTATATATCACACAGAGTATGTACAGTATATATTTTTTTACATTAGTACTGTATACATTTTTACATTTTCTCCTGGAGGTGTGCCGCAAGATTTTTTCAGTGAAAAAAGTGTGCCTTGGCTCAAAAAAGGTTGAAAAACACTGGTATAAGTTATTCAGGTAAAATTATTCATCATATTTGTCATCTCAAAATCCTTTGGAAGTTGCTTGGAAAGGTGTGGTGAGCGACTACTTGCCTCTGAGCTATAGTTGGAGACCGAGACCCTCCTACATCAGCAAGGAATGACTCAAAAACCCAGTGGGGAAAAAAAGGGAGAAACCTCAGGGAGGCCCCCATCGAGAGAGGATTTGCTCCCATAAACAGAAGGATATGAGTCCAGGATTATAGAGTTTCCAGAAAGTAACAATTTCAACAATTCATGTTTTAGAATGTGAAAACATTCAAAGCTGAGGTACCTAACTTTCAAATTTAATAGAAAACGATTGAGCAAGAAAACAGAACAGACATTTTCTCATGTATTGTTGGCCCTTGATACATAGATCAGCTTTTCTAGACTACTCTCTCACTAAATAGTCAGTGTCTTTTTTAGTATGCAGTAAACAAAAGTGAAGTTCCTCAGCTTTAAATAGAATATAAAAAGATAAACAAAGTGTACCACTGAAAAGTAAAGATGTGGGCAAGTGAAACCGTTTCTGGCGTCTCATTTCTGTCATCATCATGTGTGGAGTGAAAGGAAAATATTTGTTCTTCAAAAAATTATAAAGTAAGACATATTTATATTTTTAGCACATTTCACAGTAACCTGGCAAGAGCCAGATTGATGATTGTGTAGAACTCTAACGCGTTCTCCGCGATATCAATCTGGGATTTCTCACGGAGAATCCTTTCGGGGAAAGGAGGGATAAGCAGCAGAATACTTGAAGCTGATTGGGCGAAGTGACGCTGTGTGCCCGCCTACACTCTTGCCAAAACCCGTAGGTAAAAATGCACAAACATCTTTGCCGTTCAGAAATGCACAAAGCGCCTCTCGCTGTTCATCTTTCAAAAAAGAAATTGTAGATTCTGCTAAAACTGACTTGATAGCCTCAGCTACGCGTCCGTCCTCCTGCGTAGCCATGTTTGTTTTGCTTCGGCCCGGCACTTCTTGCTTTCGTCAAACCCGGATATCCCGCCCTAAACCCCCAGACTGGCGCGTGATTGGCTCGCACACCCAGTGGTTCGACTCGAAAAGTGTAAGCGGGAGCGGTACAAGATGTATTCTCGAGTGTTTGTGAACTCACAAATACCGCGAGAATTCAGCTTGCAGGCAAGGTTAATTTCACAGAGCAAGGCCCACAAAGCGCTTTAAAAGTGTTTTTGGGAGTACCGACAATTTCGATTCAAGTTTTTAGCGGTAGAGAAACCGGAGCACCTGGAGGAAACGTATGCAGACACGAGGAGAACATGTAAACTCCACACAGAAAGGCTTGGAGATGGAATCGAACCCAGGACCTTCTTGTTGCTCGGTATAAGCTCTAACTGCACTTAACCGCCCACGGCAAAGCTCTTTGGGGGTCCTTGATTTGTCAAATACACTATTTAAACAAAGATGACTTTTTCTTCATAATTGAGACCTGTTTATTATTTAGTGGATTTTGTTAAATTATTTTTAAGGGCAATCTATAAGAATATGGATAAAATTCAGAACAAAATTACCCAAACAATCTAGGAATCAAGCCATTGAACCGGATAATTTTTGAAAAATATGTACGTAAAATGTTTCTTTTAGTGAAAATTCAGTATTGATCAGGGACAATCCTTTTATACTTTTAGAAGATGTTGGAGGAAATGCAGAAAATCAGCTCTCATTTCCAACATAGCATCAGTGAGTGACATGCTGTAGCCTGCTGCTGACCTCCTGGCGAGTCAAACTGGCATCTCGTCGCCGTGCCGTTAGCTCGATGACTACATTAGCATGGGGCCCAAACCAAGTTTCTGTGCAGCAGATGCCACAAGCTGTTACGGTGGCTCAAAACACTGAAAACTTTGAACTTTGCGGAAGATGGTCAAACTTTGGTCTTGGTTGTAAAAAAAAAAAAAAAAAGTCCAAAATATCTGAATACGCCCGGTAACAGCATGGCAACGACAGCAGTTTGTTAGTTCTGTTGAATGTACAGGCAAATATTGTGGAAAGTTAGAATATTGTTTAAAAGTATATTCCCTTCTGTAAATCACAAAAATCAGAAGTGATGTCATTTTGGAGTGAAAAAAAATAAAACATTTAACAAAAAAATTGATGATTTGATATCTGTGATAATGTGAAATAAAGCAATAAATTGAAAAAAATAATAATAAGTAAAATTAAATGTTGATAAATGTTCTGATTTAATGAATATTCCATCAATCCATTTTTTTCCGCTTCATCCGTTGCCGGGTCGCGGGGGCAGCGGTCTAAGCAGTGATGCCCAGACTTCCCTATCCACACTTAATTAACAAAATTAATGAATATTGATATGACTTATTTTTTAATGTATGGAGCTGAAATACTTCATTTCTGTCCCAAAAGAGATGACCTTGGAAAAAATTCTAATTCTGTGAACAAATTAGACCAACATGAAGAACATGATGTGTTCTTCTTGTTAAGAAGCTTTTAAAATGTGCATGTGTGCATGAAAGAGCCCTGTTAGTCGCTATTGGACTCATTGGGTTGAGAGCTGATTGGCTGAGTGAGTGAGGTCTTCTCGTTGTCACTCTGATTGGATGGATTATATTTCATGGCTGTATTTTTGTTGGTTGAAAGTATCAGT